ATGTGTCCCCCTCAACATTCCTGCCATCTCAGTGCAGGTCTCAGGGACAGACAGGAAGAAAAGATCATAAGAAAGCCCTGGCTGGTGTGGCTCAGTTGGTTGAGCGTCATCCTGTGCACCCTCCTGTGCACCCTCCTGTGCACCAAAAGGTTGCCGGTTCAATTCCCGGTAAGGGCATACACCCAGGTTGTGGGCTCAATCCCTGGTAGGGGGCATGCAGGAGGCAGCAGATCAAAGTTAATCTCTCACATGACTGTTTCTCTCTCTCTAAAAATCAATTAAAAAAAAAAAAAAAAACCTTAAAAAGAAAGAGGAGATACTATGTCCTGGCATTAGAGTCAGAAAAACCTGGGTGTGAATTACATCTGCATCACTCTCTATAAGAGTGACACTAAGCAATTTCTTCAGCTTCTGTGAGCCCATTTTATCATGAATAAAATGTGTATAAGACCTATTTCTTAGGAATTAAATAAAAAATCCAACAAGCTCAGTCAACATAAAAGACACTTGATATAGTTGCTCTCTTTAACACCTTTTTTATTACGAAAAAGGCTAAAATAGGCCACATACTAAGACTTGACATACACAGCAGAACGCTCCCAAGTCTTGGCCTAAGGACAACTGTGCCAAGGTAATGCTACCTTTTAAAATTGTCTTAGGCCTAGCCAGTTTTGCTCAGTGGTTAGAGCATCGGCCTGCAGACTGAAGGGTCCTGGGTTCGATTCCAGCCAAGTACCTCAATCCCCAATGCAGGCTCAATCCCTGGCCCCAGTTGGGGCACATGGGAGAGGCAACCAATCAATGTGTCTTTCTCACACTGATGTTTTTCTTTCTCTCTCTCTCCCCCCCCAGCCTTCCACTCTCTCTGAGAAAGCAATGGAAAAAAATATCCTTGGGTGATGATTAAAAATAATAAAAAATAAAACTGTTTTAATGATATTTGTCCCTGGCCAGATAGCTCAGTTGGTCAGAGCATCATCCTGATATGCCAAGGTTGCAGGTTCGATTTCTGATCAGGGCACATCACATACAAGAAGCAACCAATGAATGCATCAATAAATGGAACCACAAATCAATGCTTCTCCCTTTCTCTCCCCCACTTCCTCTCTCTCTCTCTAAAAAAAAAAAAAAAAATCAATAAAATTTTTAAAACAACAGTGGATTTCAAATAATAGTAACAACAAACAATGCTTTAAATCCAGTAGGAGCTATTATGGATTGTATATACCATACTTTTCCACATTTGATAATCATGCTTTCCATCATACATGCTGAAGTTGTCCGTCAAATAGTTATTTGTTTCTCCTCCCTCTATTTTTTCTTCTTGTAGGGGCAGGAATCACTACTTTGGGTTTATTTTTTGAAATACTTAAAAAAATCAATCCCAGGCATCAGCTTTGAAGAGTCTCTGCTTCTTGAAAACTGTTCTCACCTTCCCTGACACTGCTCTCCTAGCTGTCTCTGACCAGCCTAGCAGCTCCTCCGTAATTTCCTTTGCTAGTCTCTCCTCAATCTCTAACAGACCTTAAGACATTTTCTAGGCCTAATCCTAGTCCCTATACCTGTTCTTTTATCTACCCACTCTCCTTAAGTAATTTTATCCACAACCTTAGACACTATATATACACATACACAAATATATATATAAATTTGTTTACATTTACACACACACACACACACACACACACACAATTTCTGCCCTCCTCCCTCAAAATGATTCAGGGACTAAGATGTCCTACAGGCTACTCAAACAGAATTCTCTATTCCTTCTCCGGTCTTTCCCATCTCAGGCAACAGTATTGCCAGCTACTCAGTTGCTCAGGTCCCAAACCTGGGAATCAGCTTCTCTTTCACTCCCACATCCAATCTACCTACGTCCAATTCAACCTGCTACCAAGCCTTATTATCTGTAACCCAGGCGACAGTCAGTAGCTTGGGTCTCCCTGCTTCCATTCTTGCCCCTGTCAATCCATTCTCCACCCAGCATACAGTGATATTAAAACAAAACAGATCATGTTGCTACCTTGCACAAAATCCTTCAGTAACTGGCCTCCCTATTGTTCTTTGGATATATCTCTCTCTCACCACACCATCTTCACATATGCTATTCCTTTGACCTGGAATGTTTTCCTACCCTATCATCAAGCTTTTCCTTCATGTTTCAGCTTCAATGTCACATTTCTTGAAAAAGGCTTCCCCAATCCCAATTAAAATTAGGTCCTATTATATCCTAATAGCCTATACTTTTCTTCCCCACAAAAAAAGTTTATGTTATGTGTACAACTATTTGGTTGATGTATATCTAAAAAGAATCAGTATCTGTTTCCCTAATCACTGCATCATTTCACAGGGCCACAGCCATGTGTCCAATACCTAAGAAACTCTCACCAATAAATATTTGATAAACAGAGAACTCATGAGTCCTGGCCCTAGAATGGCAGCATAATACAGCAAGATACACCATGGATATTTAACTATTTCCCTTCAGTTCAATTTTTAGGCAAAATACTTTTGAAAAATCACAGTGCTGGGCAATGAAAGGAATTCAAGTAGAAGGAAGACAAGTTCCCCTAACAAGTTTCTGGAGTACTTGTCTCTTTACTTCTTTTGTTCTTCCATAGTTCCTAGCACACAGTCAGATCCATGGTAGATACTTAAGCATTTAGTGACCAGAGTACTACATGATAATCAATAAAGTACGAGAACTAAATGTCACAAAATCCTACATATTATGGTTCACTGAGGGCTAGAAGCATTAGAGAACATTTGAAGAGATAGAACTCAATCTAGACAGGGTAAGGAACAACTTTTAGGGATCTGCCCAACCTATGCTATCACCCTCTCCTGCCCTCCTTCAACAGCGTAGTCAGATTTGTACTCTAACACAAAACATTTCTGTAATCCATTTGCTGAATGCTAAACAAAATTGTCTTCAATATGAGGTTCTATGTTTAGTTAACATATATTCATAAAGGACCCCAGTGGTAGATGATAAAAAACTACAAAGACTTCATTATACCACCTGTTGCATAAATGAAACTCTAAACATAACATTTGACATACTACATCCATCTAATAATGTAGGAAATTAAGAGAATCTTAATTAAGAGAATCTAAAATGGAAATCCTAGAGTTCAACTATGTACTTCCTGAAGGACCAATATAAAACTGAAATACTAACTACACTAGCAATTATTTTCCAGGCAATGAACATGGCCCTTTATGTGCATTTTTTTCCCTAATCTTCAAAATAACCCTGAAAGTTGAAAAAGCTGAGGCTGAAAAGCTGGTGACTTCAACTACTATACAGCTTACAATATATGTGTTCTTTTTTAGACAATGTAAACTGACCCCAAAATGCCAAAACAAACAAAAAACCCCTGAAGTTTTGGAGAACTTCAAATGTTTTGTTATTGCATTGAATTTAAAGTAACAAAAGCTCTCCTAGGAAGCATACAAGTTCAAGGAATATAACATCCTTTACTTTAAGAAGCCTTTCTAAAACTTATGAGTAATTATAGAGTGCTTTACTGCCAAACTACTCAGCTTTGGTGAAATAAATCTGAAATATACCTGTATAATATTTTCAGTAATAAAAGTTCTCTAAAAAAAGGAAAATTACCTGCTACATAGCTACTTTACAAAGATTTTGAGTTTTGAAAGGAAAAAATAACAGATTTGAGAAACTACAGGACTATGAGTGTGATAAAAATTGCTTTTCTTCTGATATGACAAAATACCACAACAGAATAACAATAGTATTATCCAAAGCTAAATGATGTCAGGCTTCTAATCAATAAGCTGTTAAGGGTTAAGAAACTATGAATGTTACACTATCAAACATTTGGTCAAATACAGTCTTGTACAAAATGACTGTATGAGATCAAATAATCACATCAAGAAGAAATTACATACTTCTGTATTTAAACTTTTCCACACTACGGTCTTTTCAACTTGTATGGTACCAACTCTTTGCTTTCACCAAATTTCATCAATGTAGTCATTACACATTGTAAAAGCAAACTTCAAGTAATCCTAACTCTTAAAAAAGTTAAATATTAACTGAATCCCAAAAGCATCAATATTATCTCAAAATAACAATTTTGTACCATAAAGAAATAAAAATCGTATGTGGCCATAAAATAGAATTACAGAAACGGTACAGAGATGATTTTCTGTTCACAAATTTACTACCTATGTAAGACCCCAGAAAGTCTTTCTGGACTTCCTCCACAGAAAAAAACTCCCTCTTTCTCAGCCTCTCTCTCCCTCCTTCTTAATCTCGCTCTACCAAACATTTGGTCAAATACAGTCTTGTGTGAAATGACTGTATGAGATCAAATAATCACATCATGATTAGTTTTGTATAGCCCTCTCTCAAAAGGTTTACATTAAAATGGATTTATGCCATTATCAGAAACAGCATGTCTCTAGATTTATGATCTTTGCATATTCAAGATTGCAGGAATTGAGCTTTAATAATTCATGGACCACAAACACACCCTGTTAAGATTTTTCCCTCAAACACTAAAGTTCCTACTCTTGGGACCCCTAATGGGTGTACGTGAGCCATACAATACAACCTTTAAAATGAACACAGATGGTAGGTGTGTTCTCCACTCTCCCGAGACTTCACCTAAATCTCCTGCACATTCCCTTGCCGGAGTCCACAAGCAGACTGTCATTCAGAGGGATGGTGATTATGAAGCGGGAGTGAGACACAAAGCGTACGTGAGACACATTACTGGATGGGGAAGGTGGTTAATTGCAGCCTCTCCTGTATCTCGTAACTAGCCTAACCCGCTGCAAACTTTTAAGAGATTAAGTTACATTCCGCTGCAATTCCACCCTTGACAGCTAAATCCAGAAATGCCAGCGAGTCGTGCACGTCCATTCCCGCCACCTCACCGGTGGAGAGCCGGAGGCCACATCCCGCGGTCAGCGCGGACCAGTGGCTGGGAAGGAGGGAGGGCTGCAGGGGGAGGGCCGGGAGAGCTCACCTTCTCCAGCTCATCGTGCAGCTCCGCCAGGCTGGGCCGGAGCAGCTTCTCGCCCAGCTGTGCTACTGTGTGCCGGTAGTGGTCGATCCTGGGCACGGCGTCCATGGTGTTGTGGCCGAAGGTGCGCTGGTAGTAGGTGTTGGTGTGGGTGTCATAGTAGTAGTGCTGGTGGTGCCCGCTGCCGCCGCCGCCCGAGTGCAGGCTGCTGCCCTCGCTCAGCACTGTGTCCCCACCGTTCTGGAAACTCACGTTGGGCCCGTCGCCTCCGAGCCCCGCCGCATCCGACAGGCTCTCGTCCGCCGAGGAGGAGGCAGCCGGGTCCACAAAGTTGACACGGAAGCGGCCCTTGGCTTCCTCGCTGCCTTTCGCCGGCCCGCTTTCGCTGCTGGCTTTGCCGTCCACGGAGGTCCCCTTGCTCCC